AAAGCTTAATTTTTTTTTTTTTTTTAAAAGTTGATGTCAAATCAACAAATTAATTTTAATAATGCATTTTGTGAAATCTATAATTTTTATCAAGTTCTCATTCACACATTTCATCCATTATTATCAAAATTTGCTAATATTTTTTTAGTCAAAACTTTTATCTAAAAACCTTTAGGCCCTGTTTGATTGGCATTATTTTTCAGAGAATTAGGAAAATATTTTCCATTTTCCACTTTTTTTGGCTATTTGATAGCGAAATTTTCCACCTTTAGCCTACATGTGTGCATTTTCCAACTTTTTGATGAAAATTTTTTCCCCCCTTTTTTGTGGGAAAAAATAAATTTTCCACGCTGGCTGGAAAAAAAAATCTTTTTTTTTTTAATGGAAACAAATGTTATAACCAATGATAGAATTTTTTTTACTTTAATGGACAATTTTTATGTAAAACAAAGTCAAACGAATACTAAATTTTGAAGAAAAAAATGTTTTTTAGGAAACAATTTTTTCCCTTTTTTTTTTTAAAAAACTTTTTTGTAATAGAAACAAATTTTATAACTAATTGTGGAAAAAAATATCACTTTAATGGACAATTTTCATGTAAAACAAAACCAAACGAATAGAAAATTTAAAAATTTGCCGGGTGAAAAATTATACCAATCAAACACACTTGAAATCATTTTCCCTACAAAATATTTTTTAAGCAAATCTTTTCCCTGTAAAACATTTTCTTTCCACCCATTTTTCACTCTTACAATCAAATGCACCCTTATTGTTGGATTAAGTATTACTTGCTTGTCAAGAGTAGTGAACGAAAAGTTGAAAACAAAGTTAAAATAATGAACATCAATAACACTTTGCCCCCGTTTGTCTACCATTAATCTAAAATATTGTTTGCTACAGTAAAATTCTCCACCACACATTCACTCAATAAAATATTCTATACATAAACCAATAAAGTTACTTTAAATTTCAACTACACATTCTCCAAAAAATACTATTCATTACACCATTTTCAACCCAATAATGATAGACAAACAGGCTCTTTAATACCCAACATGTAGTTATATTGCATATAAATAGAGTAATATGTTGAAAAAAGAGGTACGAAAGAATGGAACACAAATAGGGGCTAAGCATGTGTCAATTCTTAAAAAGTACTAACACATTCTATTGCAACATTGAACTCTTGTTTGACACCCATTTTATGGAAGAATTTGATTTGAAATAGTGATTGATGGAAGAATATGTGATTAAAAAGTGAAGAAAATTTTTGGGTTTATGTTTTAAACCCAAGTAGCACTCAAACCGGCCAAAGTTCTGTCCAACCTGACAAGGGATCTAGACGTCCGGATTCTCAAAAATACTAGCCATTTGAAAATGTCAGAATGGTAAAAAATATGACCGATGAGGGTCATCCGGACGTCCGGATGGGCTTTTTGCCCCCAGACGTTTTCTCACTTGATTTTTCGTTTGATACTATATTTTGAAGTATTTTCTCACGTATGATTTTTAAAATAAATCATTCGATAAAAGTTTTATGCAATCATTTGATTTTGAAAATAATTTTTCTTATACCTAAAAATTTACTTTGAGTTCTTAGTAATTATTTGCCAAATGCTGAAGCATTTTACCTT